CAAAATCACCACCCTCCTCTTCTTCCTGCGAATAATAGTCATAGGTGTCGACTTGGTAATCGACCGAACGGCTTTCACAGGGGACCACTGGAAAAAAAATGATTTTTTATTATTTATTTCTCTTTCGATTAATAATTGGTATTGAGTTCCTGCTACCTACTTGCCATGGCCACCAATAGGGCAATGAAACAAATGACGAACTTCATTGCGCTTCCGATCCAAAAAATTATTCACTTTCTTTGAAAAATGTTTTCAAACTAGAATTAGTCGTTCCCGGAACTCATTGGCGATTTTATACAGTTTTGTGCTTAGATCTCCTCTTCGATCTGTTAGCGTTCAGACTTTATTGAAACAGTTGTGGCATTGTGACTTTGGTAAATATTTTTTTCTTTGCTATCGATTATTGTTACAGAATAGAAATGTTAGAGAAATTGTTGTAAGCAGCAGCTGATTAAATATTTTTCAGTTCTGAATTGTTGCAAACATAGGCCAGTTGGGTAATACGGAAGAGTCCGGAGGCAAAAAATTGTATTTTATTTCTAAATATATTATAGAAAATAAATAAACAGCTTTAATGTGCATAGGAAATGAATTAAACCACATGTGACAAAAATTAAAGCATACTTTTAGGCATATGGATTCATTAAGCGAAAGTAAGGGAATTGATATATTTTTAATAGTTCTTTTTCGATAGCTAACAAAAGCGTGGATTTTTTAAATAATATTTTTTGGGTGCCATAACAAGGCTTGGATTTTTTATATAATATTTTTTTGGGTACCATACCCTACTTACTTAATTAGCTGGCTTGCGGCAGAACTTTCGTTCCATAAGCCGAGCTTAGAAAAGATTTCCAGGCGCAGTTTTTCCAATTTGAAAGACTATTTTCGGCAATGTTGTCTTCGACTTGATCTTTCCATCGTATTCGTGGCCTTCCCTTTCTGCGTGAGCCATCACCTGGTTCGCTTTTATATGCCTTCTGGGCTGGGGCATCTACATCCATTCTCACAACATGACCTAGCCAACGTAGTCGCTGCAGCTCAATACGTCTAACAATGTCGATGTCCGAGAATAGCTGGTATAACTCATGGTTCATTCGACGGCGATATGCACCGTCAACGCAGATCGGCCCATAGATCTTTCGGAGAATTTTTCTCTCAAACATTCCAAGAGATGCCTCATCTGCTTGCGCATGTACCCATGCTTCAGATCCATATAACAGCACGGGTAGTATCAGCGTCTGGTAGAGTGTGAGTTTGGTCTGGCGGGAGGAGGCCTTAGTAGCATTTGTTGGCCATCAAAATCCTTCTCCGAATTTCAAAAATGATGCCATGCGTTTTGTTTATGGCGGCAGTACCAAGGTATATAAAATCTTTAACTACCTCGAAGCTTTAGTTCTCAAGTTCCACACACACGACAAATCCTCGTTCGGTATTAAAGGGCTCCGAGAGGTCCTTTCCGACTTTAACTGCTGACCTTCTGCCAGTTAAAGTTTTCCTGCATAACCGTATTAATTTTGCAGGAATGCCAAACGCAGACATGGCTTTGAACACCTGTCGAATGCGGCTTTATAATCGACGAATAGGTGGAATGTGTCGATGTGTTTTTCGTGAGGTTTTTTCACGATTTGGCGCAGAGTCAAAATCTGGTCAATGGTGGATTTGCCATGTCTGAAGCCACATTTATATGATCCAATAATGTCATTGACCATTGGCTTCAGTCGTACACACGTACGCTGGATAGCACTTTATATGCGATGGGAAGGAGACTTATTCTTCTATAGTTGGCATCTTTTTTGTGCACGAGACACAGGATGCGGACGTTCCAATCATTGGGCAAGCATTCTTCTAGCCAAATTGTACTAATCAGCTGGAGCATGCTCGGCTTGTAAACCATCGGCACCTGCTGCTTTATTGTTCTTGAGACTATTTATTGCTTTTATGACCTCATCTTGGCTAGGTGGTATACACTCTATACCGTCATCTATTATTGGTACTGTGGTATCCTCTTCACCGCTACTATTTGATACCAGAAGTTTTTCAAAATGCTCCTTTCAGATCCTCAGCACGCTGTCTGTATCTGTCACCAGGTTTCCTTCTTTATCTCTACAGGAGGAGAGGCCAAACCAAAGCTTTTAGTTTGGTGTTTTACCCGTTGGTAGAATTTTCGGACTTCATTCTAACTCCTTAACATCTCGATTTGCTCACGCTCACGTTTTTCCTGTTTTTTTCTTATTTTTTCTGAAAACACGTTCCTCCTCTCTCCTTTTCTCCCGATAGTTCTCCATCGCATTACGTGTTGCTACTGTCCGCAGGGTTGCCCTATACGCTGCGTTTTTCATATCAGTAGCATTACGACACTCCTGATCGTACCACGGATTTCTTGATGGTGGTCTTTGGTACCCAAGAAGTGTTGCTTTTGCTGCAGTTTGTAGAGAGTGCTACATTAAGACGGGTGTGTACCTTGGCTGCCACAAGGTAATGGTCCGAATCGATATTAGCTCCCCGGATCGATCGGACGTCTAAAACACTGGATTAATGCCTTCCGTCTATCACAACATGAACAATTGATTTCTCGTTGCTTGATCAGGAGAAATCCAGGTGGACTTGTGTATATCGAGATGCTTGAATCTGGTGCTGCTAACTGCCATGTTTTTTGCTGCCGCGACGTCAATCAACCTCCCGTTGCCGTTGTCTGATGTTTTTTTATGGAGGCTGAATTTTCCGACAGTGGGGCCAAAGATATTTTCCCTTCCTATTTTTACATTAAAATCTCCTAGCATAATTTTAATGTCATGGCCAGGGCAACGGTCATATGCGGTTTCTTGCCGCTCATAAAATATGTCTTTGGTCTGCTCATCTTTGCCTTCGGTCGGACCATGGGCGCAAATGAGACTGATGTTGAAGAACTTCGCTTTAATACGGATTATTGCAATTCGCTCATCCACTGGATTGAATCTGAAGACGAGGTCTTTTATTCTCCTGTTAACCATAAATCCGCAGCGAAATTCATGTCTCGTTTCATGGCAGCTAAAATGCAGGGCGTAATCATCTGATTTACTAACACCAGTCCCTTTCCATCGCATTTCCTGTAAGGCAATAATATCGGCTTGGTACTTCTTGAGTACATCCGCCAAGGCGAATACTGCGCCTGTTCTGTACAACGTGCGCATATTCCAAGTGCAGATTCGCAGATCGTGGTTCTTGGTTTTGGTTTCTTTGGTTTTCTTTTTCTTTGTTTTTTTCATAGTATGTTGGGTTTTCCGAGAGTGGGCAACTAACCCGACGCCTCAACCCATTTTTTTATAGTTATAGCTCACTATTTCATCAAGTGATAAAAATAGCTCCCCAGCTGGCACCGCGGGGAGGTCAGTGTCCACAATTGAGATGAAGGGAGAACCCAGATAAGCCTGGACTTCGCCATGTTAAAGCCAATCAGAGCCGATGCTTGGTATCTATCATTCCCTACGCCACCTTGGGTACCATACCAAGGCGTGGATTTTTTAAATAATATTTTATGGGAGCTACTTAAATACAAAGAGACATTGTGGAGAAAACTTTATGACCCAATTAAGGAATTTTTAATATTGAAAGTTGAAAATAGCACTCAGACAACTGGGCAAAAAAAGGAATAACAACAACAACAATACCACCAACGTCTGTTGTAAACTCTCTTGAGAAAAACCATTGAAGTGCTAATACTGCTCTTGATTTTTTTTATCTTCAATATGATTTTGATAGCATTCCAATTATCTGTACAAAAAGTAGATACCCCTCCCACCTCCTTAAGTCTTGGGACAAAATCTGGGTCAAAATATAAAAAAATAATTGCATGAATTTCGAACTACTTTTAGTATTTTTCTAGAATCCGTTGAAAGAACTACTTCGCAAAAATGAATTTTAAAATCACTGTTTTCTGCATTGTCCTGGTGGCATTGATTTCAAGTAAGTTTTTATGAGGAAATCCCTAAAGCATATTTTTGAAAAAAAAATAAAAGAAATGTGTGTACCTTTCAGTGGCCTCCTGTGCTAAATCTGTCGATGGAAATCAGGTTCCTAATAAAGATTCGCCCTCTGTGTCGGGAAATGTTGAAGAACCCACGAAAGACCATTATCCTAATGGCTTAAATGTGAAACCAGAACCCAGACATCGTCCACATCAGTTTGTACCGGAGAAAGTTAAACCCGAAGATTGTGATGGTTAGGCTTCGAGAAAATATTCTTTAAAAAATCCACGCCTTGGTTAGGCTTCGAGAAAATATTCTTTAAAAAATCCACGCCTTGGTTAGGCTTCGAGAAAATATTCTTTAAAAAATCCACGCCTTGGTTAGGCTTCGAGAAAATATTCTTTAAAAAATACACGCCTTGGTAAGGCTTCGAGAAAATATTCTTTAAAAAATCCACGCCTTGCTGAGGCTGCGAGAAAATATTCTTTAAAAAATCCACGCCTTGCTGAGGCTTCGAGAAAATATTCTTTAAAAAATCCACGCATTGCTGAGGCTGCGAGAAAATATTCAAAAAATATTATTTAAAAAATCCACGCCTTGGTTAGGCTTCAAAAAATATTCTTTAAAAATCCACGCCTTGGTTAGGCTTCAAAAAATATTAATTAAAAAATCCACGCCTTGGTTAGGCTTCGAGAAAATATTATTTAAAAAATCCATGCCTTTGTCAGGCTTCAAAAAATATTATTTAAAAAATCCACGCCTTGGTTAGGCTTCAAAAAATATTATTTAAAAAATCCACGCCTTGGTTAGGCTTCGAGAAAATATTCTTTAAAAAATCCACGCCTTGTTTAGGCTTTTTTTAAAAAGTCATAATTTTTTTAGAACACTACTGGATTCTTTAATAAAATATATTTAACAATTTTTTTAATTTATCGATACTTGAGAATACTATTTTTAAGTCGATTGAATTTTTTGTTTTTCAAGACTTTGGGTTGCTTTGGAATATTTGTATATCTTTTGCTTTGGAATATTTGTATATAAATATCCGAAATATTTTTATCTACCATATCCACTATAACCACCGCTTGGACCACCATAACCTCCTCCTTGACTGCCATAACCACCTCCTTGACCACCACCATAACCTCCACCAGGGCCACCGCCAAATCCACCACCACTACCTCCACCAGGGCCACCCCCGAAGCCTCCACTAGGACCGCCACCAAATCCTCCACCTGAGCCCCCACCAGGACCTCCACCATATCCTCCACTTGAGCCACCACCAGGACCACCACCATATCCTCCACCATAACCACCTCCTCCCATTTGTCCTTGCTGACCATAACCACCGCCAGAGCTATAACCTCCACCATATCCACCTTGACGTTTTATGCGATAGTGCTGCTCATTGAAAATCTGGTCATAGCTGGTTGTGAAGCCCAAAACGGCTGGGAGAAAAATTCGACATTTAAAAATATGTCTTTTTTATTAGTTTCGAAATTGCACCACCTACCTTCAGTAAAAATTAAAATCACAACTAAAAACAATCCGAAATTTCTACAGAGCTCCATTTTGTTCGTTGACTTCGTTCGTGATGCGGAAAATAAAAATTATGACACGAAATTGATACGACAGCCAACTCATATATTTATATACCCCTAAGAACTGATTGATCAGTTCCCAACAATTATAGTTGGCGGATTTTTTTATTGTTTGGATAAAATCATTTAATTATATAGTTTGGTGGATATTAGGGTGTAACTAATATTTATGTGAAATTAAGAAAAAATACTTTTTAATAAATCCACGCCTTAAGATAGGCCCAAAAAATATTTTTTAATAAATCCACGCCTTAAGATAGGCCCAAAAATATTTTTTTAATAAATCCACGCCTTAAGATAGGCCCAAAAAGTATTTTTTAATAAATCCACGCCTTAAGATCGGCCCAAAAAGTATTTTTTAATAAATCCACGCCTTAAGGTAGGCCCAAAAAATATTTTTTTAATAAATCCACGCCTTAAGAAAGGGCAAAAAAATATTTTTTAATAAATCCACGCCTTAAGGTAGGCCCAAAAAATATTTTTTAATAAATCCACGCCTTAAGATAGGCCCAAAAATATTTGTTAAAAAAATCCACGCCTTAAGGTAGGCCCAAAAAATATTTTTTAATAAATCCACGCCTTAAGGTAGACCAAAAAATATTTTTTAATAAATCAAAGCCTTAAGGTAGGCCTATAAAATATTTTTTAATAAATCCATAAATCCACTCCTTGTGTTGTTTTACAAAAACAAATTTTAACAAGTAATGAATGTAGTAAAGTCTAACTGGACCTACTATATGATACCCTTCACCTCTTTGGGTATATTCTACATATGTATCCTAACAGACGACGCGTTTTTGTTATATATCTATATCTGAACCGATTTCAGGGAAACCTGCCAGAGACTAATTTATATTACATCAGTACGTTGTGTCAATCGGCCTGGCTATGGATGTTTTCACGAAGCTAAGCAACATCATTCTAGACTTATACACAACTACACAAAATCGGACGAAAATATATATGGGAGCTATATCTAAATTTGAACCGATTTTCATGAAACTTAGCACACGTCATTCCAGCATTAATTCAGTACGCTATGACAAATTTCGTGCACATCGAAAGATATTTAGAGACTTTGGTGCACCATTTACCTTAAATCGGATGAAAATATATATGGGAGCTATATCTAAATCTGAAGCGATTTTCACGAAACTAAGCACACATCATTCTGAACCTAATTCATTACTATATGCCAAATTTCGTGCAAATCGAAAGATATATGTGGACTTTGGTGCATTAATTACATCAAATCGGACGAAAATATATATGGGAGCTATATCTAAATCTGAACAGATTTTCATGAAACTTAGCACACCTTATTATAGGACGAAAATATATATGGGAGCTGAACCGATTTTCACGAAACATTGCACATTTTTTTCTAGAATTAATTTAGTACGCTGTGCCAAATTTCGTGCAAATCGAAATATAAATAGGGTCTTTGGTGCACCAAATACCTTTAATCGGATGAAAATATATATTGGAGCTATATATAAATATGAACCGATTTTCACGAACCTTGGCAGACATCATTCCCGATCTTATTCATTACTCTGTGCCACATTTCGTTCAAATCAAAAGATTTCCAGGGACTATAGTGGACTATTTACCTAAAATCGGGGAAGCTTTATACGGGAGCTATATATAAATCTGAACCGATTTTCACGAAACTTAAAACACATCATTCTAGACTTAATTTAGTATGCTGTGCCAAATTTCGTGCAAATCGAAAGATATATAGGATCTTTGGTGCACCAATTACCTTAAATCGGTCGAATCGCTATGTGGAAGCTATATCTAAATCTGAACCGATTTCCACAAAATTTAACACACATCGTTCTAGACTTAATTCAGTACGCTATGTCAAATTCCGTGCAAATCGAATAATTTTCAGAGACTTTGGTGCACCAATTACCTAAAATCGGATGAAAATATATATGGGAGCTATATCTAATTCTGAACCGATTTTCACGAAACTTGGCACACATCATTCTCGATCTTATTCAGTACTCTGTGCCAAATTTCGTGCAAATCGAAAGATTTATAGGGTCTTTAGTGGACTATATACCTAAAATCGGACGAAAATATATATGGGAGATTTCTAAATCTGAACCGATTTTTTATTCCCTTCACCACTCTGTGGTACAGGGTATTATGTCTTTGTGCATATGTTTGTAACAGGCAAAAGGAAACGAGATAGACACATGATTACTTTTGAGAATATGCATAGAATCACTTTCTGAGTCGATTTATGCATGTCCGTCCGTCCGTCCGTCTGTCTGTCGATGTTAAATTGTAAACAAAGTGCAGGTCGCATTTGTAATCCGAATTGGATGAAATTTGGCATAGGTCACTTATTCGGCCCAAAGACAAACCCTATTGAAATTGGGAAAAATCGGTTCAGATTTAGATATAGCTCCCATATATATTTTTGTCCGATTTAATGTAAACGGTCCCTAAATATCTTTCGATTTGCACGAAAATTGGTACAGAGTAATGAATTAGGTATAGAATGATGTGTGCAAAGTTTCATGAAAATCGGTTCAGATTTGGATATAGCTCCCATATATATTTTCGTCCGATTTAAGGTAAATTGTGTACCAAAGTCCCTATATATCTTTCGATTTGCACGAAATTTGGCACAGCGTAATGAATTAGGTCTAGCATGATGTGTGTTAAGTTTGGTGAAAATCGGTTCAGATTTAGATATAGCTCCCATATATATTTTCGTCCGATTTAAGGTAAATGGTGTACCGAAATCTCTATATATACTTCGATTTGCACGAAATTTGGCATAGCGTACTGAATTAAGTCTAGAACGATGTGTGTTAAATTTTGTGGAAATCGGTTCAGATTTAGATATAGCTCCCATATATATTTTCGTCCGATTTTAGGTAAATAGTGCATCAAAGTCCTTTTATATGCTTCGATTTGCACAACATTTGGCTTAGCGTTCTAAATTGAGTCTAGAATGATGAGTGGTGAGTTTCGGGAAAATCGGTCGCGATTTCGATATAGCTCCCATGTATATGCTCATCCGATTTTATGTAAATGATGCACCAACGTCCCTATATATCCTTCGATTTGCACGAAATTTGCCACAGCGTACTGAATTAAGTCTAAAACGATGTATGTTAAATTTCGTGGATATCGGTTCAGATTTAGATATAGTTCCTATATATATTTTCGTCCGATTTTCGGTAAATAGTGCACCAAAGTCCCTTTATATCCTTCGATTTGCACGAAATTTGGCATAGCGTGGTAGCTCTCAAAAAAATATTTTTTAACAAACCCATGCCTTAAGGTAGGCCTAAAAAATATTTTTTAATAAATCCACTTCTTTTCGGTGGCTCGAAAAAAATTATTTTTTAATAAATCCACGCCTTAAGGTGGGCCTAGGCCATTTTCTTAAAATCAAGCATACGTCTGGTATTGAAACAATGTTTTTTTGTATTAATTCAAAATCAATATGTTTTTAAATATTAACACACATTTTTTAATCAACGCCCATAACCGCCAGGTTGGCCGGGCTGACCAGGTTGACCATAAGAACCGCCACTGCCACCATAACCGCCATATCCACCATTACCACCGCCATATCCACCATTTCCACCCGGTTGACCAGGTTGTCCTGGACTACCACCGTTACCACCTCCTCCTCCATTTCCTCCACCGCCACCATTTCCTCCACCGCCTCCATTTCCTCCACCGCCACCATTTCCTCCACCGCCACCATTTCCTCCACCGCCACCATTTCCTCCACCGCCACCATTTCCTCCAGGCTGCCCTGGGGCACCACCATAACCACCACTTCCTCCATTGCCACCGGCACCATACTGCCGTTTCACACGTACGCCCTCAACATTTGGACCCCTGGGATACTTTACATTACCTGTCGAAGCCACTGCGAAAAAAAACATTTTTATCCTGATTATCAATAATAAATTCAAACTTTTTCCCATCACGTGTCAGTCATACCTTCGGCTATACAAATTAGCCCCAACACCACCAATACACCACATGCAATCACCTGTCTCATTCTGTGTAGATACTGATTTGAAAACTGAACGCAACTAAGATTCGATGCAACGATTTTCTCCGTTTTGTTTTCCCAGTTCATTTGCGATCGGGGGTTTTTATTTCAGGTGCATTGCAGTGCAGATTCATAGAATTCCCCCAACCTATCAGTTTCAAACGTGGTGTTGGCGGTTGTTGTTGTCTTTGTTGTAGTTTAACTGAAATGGCATTATAACAACCTGGTATTGTCAAGTCGTAATTGATTGCTATTTCAATTACAAATATTAATTATTTGAATTATTTAAATTAATTCTGGTTTTAGGAAGCTTCAGGTTCCATACGAAGTGGGTGGATTTATTAAAAATGTTTTTTAGGCTACCCAAGGCGTGGATTATTTAAATAATATTTTATGGTCCAAGGTCTTGACCTTAAGCCTAGAATGATGTGTGCTAAGTTTCGTGAAAATCGGTTCAGATTTAGATATAGATCCCATATATAGTTTCGTCCGATTTAAGGTAAATGGTGCATCAAAGTCCCTACATATCATTCGATTTGCACGAAATTTGGCACAGAGTACTGAATTAGGTCTAGAATGATGCGTGTTAAGTTTCCGGAAAATCGGTCCAGATTTAGATATAGCTCCCATATATATTTTCGTCCGATTTAAGGTAAATGGTGCACCAAAGTCCCTATATATCTCTCGATTTGTACGAAATTTGATACAGGGTAATAAATTAGGTCTAGAATGATGTGTGTTAAGTTTCCTGAAAATCGGTTTAGATTGAGATATAGCTCCCATATATATTTTCGTCCGATTTAAGGCAAATGGTGCACCAAACTCCCTATATATCAATCGATTTGCACGAAATTTAGCACAGAGTACTGAATTAGGTCCAGAATGATGTGTGCTAAGTTTCGTGAAAATCAGTCCATATTTAGATATAGCTCCCATATATATTTTCGCCCGATTTAAGGTAAATGGTGCACCAAAGTCCCTATATATCTTTCGATTTCCTCCAAACTTGGCACAGCGTACTGAATAAGGTCCAGAATGATGTGTGCCAAGTTTCGTGAAAATCGGTCCAGATTTAGATATAGTTCCCATATATATTTTCGTCCGATTTAAGGTAAATGGGGCACCAAAGTCCGTATCTATCTTTCGATTTGCACGAAATTAGGCACAGAGTACTGAATTAGGTCCGGAATGATGTGTGCCAAGTTTCGTGAAATTGGTTCAGATTTAGATATAGATCCCATATATATTTTTGTCCAATTTAAGGTAAATGATGCACCAAAGTCCCTATATATCGTTCGATTTGCACGAAATTTGGCACAGGGTACTGAATTAGGTCCAGAATGATGTGTGCTAAGTTTCGTGAAAATAGGTCCAGATTTAGATATAGTTCCCATATATATTTTCGTCCGATTTAAGGTAAATGGTGCACCAAAGTCCCTATATATCTTTCGATTTGCACGAAACTTGGCACAGCGTACTGAATAAGGTCCAGAATGATGTGTGCCAAGTTTCATGAAAATCGGTTAAGATTTAGATATAGCTCCCATATATATTTTCATCGGATTAAAGGTAATTGGTGCACCAAAGACCCTATATATTTTTCGATTTCCTCGAAACTTGGCATAGAGTACTGAATTAAGTCTCGAACGATGTGTGTTAAATTTCGTGAAAATCGGTTCAGATTTAGATATAGCTCCCATATATAGTTTCGTCCGATTTAATGTAAATGGTGCACCAAAGTCTCTATATATAAATCGATTTGCACGAAATTTGGCACAGCGTAATGAATTAAGCCTAGAACGATGTGTGTTAAATTTCGTGAAAATCGGTTCAGATTTAGATATAGCTCCCATATATATTTTCGTCCGATTTAAGGTAAATGGTGCACCAAAGTCCCTATATATCCATCGATTTGCACGAAATTTGGTACAGGGTACTGAATTGGGTACAGAATGATGTGTGCTAAGTTTTGTGAAAATCGGTTCAGATTTAGATATAGCTCCCATATATAGTTTTGTCCAATTTAAGGTAAATGGTGCACCAAAGTCCCTATATATCATTCGAGTTGCACGAAATTTGGCATAGGGTACTGAATTGGGTCCAGAATGATGTGTGCTAAGTTTTGTGAAAATCGGTTCAGATTTAGATATAGCTCCCATATATAGTTTCGTCCGATTTAAGGTAAATGGTTCACCAAAGTCCCTATATATCATTCGAGTTGCACGAAATTTTGCATAGGGTACTAAATTAGGTCGAGAATGATATGTGCTGAGTTTCGTGAAAATCGGTTCAGATTTAGATATAGCTCCCATATATATTTTCTTCCGATTTAAGGTAAATGGGGCACCAAAGTCCCTATCTATCTTTCGATTTGCACGAAATTTGGCACAGCACACTTAATTGAGTCTAGAATGATGTGTGCTAAGTTTCGTGAAAATCGGTTCAGATTTAGATATAGCTCCCATATATATTTTCGTCCGATTTAAGGTAAATGATGCACCAAAGTCCCTATATATCTTTCGATTTGCACGAAATTTGGCACAGCGTACTGAATTAAGTCTAGAACGATGTGTGTTAAATTTCGTGAAAATCGGTCCAGATTTACATATAGCTCCCATACAAATTTTCGTCCGATTTTAGATAAATGGTATACCAAAGTCCCTATGTATCTTTCGATTTGCACAAAATTTGGCACAGCGTACTGAATTAAGTCTAGAACGATGTGTGTTAAATTTCGTGAAAATCGGTCCAGATTTAGATATAGCTCCCATATATATTTTCGTCCGATTTAAGGTAAATGGTGCACCAAAGTCCCTATATATCTTTCAATTTGCACGAAACTTGGCATAGCGTAATGATTTAGGTTTAAAATGATGATGTGTTAAGTTTTCTGAAATTGGTTCAGATTTCGATATAGCATCTATATCTGACCAAATAAAACATTTAGTATCGGTTGCAGAATCACATGTTTATGGATCCAATTTCATTTTACTGGTCCTTTAAAATTCATATGTTGAATATACCACCACCACTTTGTGAAGAGTATCATATAGTCGACCCCGTCCGACTTCACTACTTTCATTACTGGTTTTAAATTCACTTCTTTTGGATACTTTCTTAATTTCCTCCGAATATTTACACAAATGTTTAACCTTCCGGATTAGGTGTTACTATTGAAGTTTGACCATCCGCCAAATTTAGACCTTTACTTAATCCATCCTCCGAAGTTGAGCTCTTCAGATTAATCTATAAAGAAAAGACATACATATTTATCATCTGCACAAATACACACACGAACACCCACATACACCCACTATTGAATATCTTACCTCTGTCTTAACATTTGTTGTTGTTGGTGACACAATTCCCGTAATAATTTTCGCATTACTTAAATGTCTAGATGTGGTTAGGAGTGGCCGCGTTATAGTCGATGTCAGGCCATTCCACATGGAACCAATATTTCTCAAAATAGTAGTGAATATTGCCGGACCAACAGCATCAGCTATACCGGCACTAAGTAGCAACACTGTTATGAAAATATTTAGAAAATTCATAACTGAGCGGAAAATGTTCGCAAATGAAGTGAGAGCAAATTTTCTAGAGATAAATTATTTTTATAAAGTTTTTTTTTGTCTGAACCACGCAGAGGCATAAATTTGATATTTTATGAGCAGCTTAGCAAAGGTATGGGTAATAGGGTTTTCAACGGTTTTTTTGTGTACAATATGTGGAACGAAATATATTTTTCCCCTACACATGGGTATATGAAATTGTACTAGCCAAAAAAAAAAAAAAAAAACAAATATAGGTTTGGGGATGTGCAGCCACTTATGAGGCTGCAGCACCGTCAGGCCCATTGTGTTCATCCACGAGAAGAAAAGAGATAACGAGATATCTATAGGGGAGAAAAGATTGGGGAAATAAAAAGAGATGAGAAGCTGACAAGAAAATATAAGAAGTTAAGTTTGGACTAATGTCGATGGCTATAGAGATCGGACAGAAGATATATTACGTGTCAAGGTTGCACTTTCCCAACAACTATAGGTTTCTAATTATGCTGTAGATTAGAGCAGGTTCAGATGTTGAGAAGAAGCTAAGACTCGGTGGAAAATGAGCACCCACTAGTCTGTGCCGCATGTAAGCCAGGGCTGGACAGTGACACAGATGATGCTCAATTGTCTCCGTCTCCTCTTCGCCAACGCAGAGTTTACAGTAAACGATCGCATCATGGTCCCATTTACTAGTAAAGGCCCTGATATTACAATGACCAGTAATGATTCCTGTCATTACTCTTATGTCAGCTGTGCTCAGGTTCAACAGTGAGTGCGTTCTTTTGGTAGACAGAGTCGGCCAAATGGATCTTGAAACATTGGACCTAGGTTCGTTTTGCCAAGGTTCATACACTCTTTCGTTGAAGAAAGCCTCAAAGTTCCGGTAAAGATGACAAATGGGTGGTTTGATTGAGTCATCAATTGCTAGATCTGTGGATTGAGATCCTCGTCTGCTAAGTCGTCTGCTCTTTCATTACCCAAGATGTCACGGTGTCCTGGTACCCAACCCAACCGATAGCTGTAAGTAAGTTCTTCCAAAGCTGCTCTACACTTGAGGACGGCCTCAGATTTGATATAACAAGATTTGATGGCTTTAAGAGCCGCTTGACTATCCACGAAGATAGTCACCGGTTCAACGACCTCAGCATCCAAATTTTTTATCAATTCCGCTGTTTTCCAAATCGCTTAGATTTCAGATTGGAAAACACTACAGTTGCAATCCAGCTTGTGGGTTAACTCAAGGCCTAGCCTTTCACAGTAGAAGCCTGCCCCTGTACCTTTTTCCATCTTGAATCCGTCCAGAGGAGGGTTTTTCCAAAGCTGCTCTACACTTGAGGACGGCCTCAGATTTGATATAACATGATATGCTGGCTTTAAGAGCCGCGTGACTATCCACGAATATAGTCACCGGTTCAACGACCTCTGCATCCAGATATTTTATCAATTTCGCTGCTT